CAGCAAATAAACGCAATTGATTGTAATTCAGCAATTTGCTTAAAAAAAACATTTCAAGAAATCTTTGATGTACAATAGTAGACTGTGATCTGCAGTTGATTTTGGGCCAGCAGCTTGTAGAAAAAATATATACAGTTACAGCAAACTACGACTGGCAGCTGATTGTAATTCAACAGCTTGCTAAAGAAAAAAAACCAATTCCAACAAACTTATGTAAACATTCATATTGTAAATCAACACACAAGCCTAATCATATTGTGGTTGCAAACCACAAGAAAGTGTAGTAGATTGCAATGATGCTCCTTAAAGTGATGGTATTTTTTTTGACATTTTGAGATTGTTATAAATATAAAAAATGGATAAAATCACACAAATATTAAAGATCAATGTAAGATGAAACACTTTGAAGCAACTGTACATTTCTAAAACCAACATAGCACACACCACACATAACAAATACAATGAATTGAAGGCAATATTGCCAACTTCAACTTGCTTAAGGGGGTTGAAAAAGTGCTGTGCATTTTATTTCCGGATTGCAATCAACTAAATGATATAGTGATCACTTTAATGCCCACCACTCTTCACAACATACACTTCCTACTTCACGTCTTTCAATTGGTTTCAGATTTTTGTTGAACAACTATTTGTTTTTTGTCAATTTTGACTGCTTCGCATCACATTCAAGCAAGTTGTGCTTGCGAGAGCCACCCGTGAGGTCCACAGGGGCGCTGGTACTACCATGGCTTGCAAGTGAAAACCCCATATCCAGAAGAAAATGCATTCTTGATTATGAAAAGAGAAACGGCATTTGAACTACCAGGCGTGGAAAACCTCCAAAAAATGACGCAAGTGAAATGATACTTCCTTGTGGATGAAATTTGGATTTCATTTGAATTTGGCAACGAATACGTGGTTTGCATGCGCAACACCTGCACGCGGCAAAGCTCCTTATGAATCTATGACGGGCAAGCACACAAACATCACAAAACTCTAAACATCTGCAAGGGTTGAGGAGCACCTAAAAAATAAAAAAAATAAACCATAAACTCAAAAAATATTTAAATTAAAGGGACAAAAGTGATAAACTTGGACTTAAGAGTAGGGAGAGCTTTGTCAAATTGATGCAAGCAGGTGTGGAGAGTGAGGGCTCCGTCTAATTGCAATGTGGTGTGAGGAAGGTGGGAGGGCGCGATAATCCACATGGATTTGATGACATCGGAAACACATATTATCTAGGCGGAAGTACTTGGTACTTCGCAGCACCTGATTTCTCTACTAGCTAGGATACCCTAAACTGCCGCTCACTCCCGTGTGGTAACGGGGAGCTGGCCGACCAATTACTGGCGCGGTTTCACTGCCCTGCCTGTCGTGTGGCTTGAACCTAATATTTCACACATATTTAGTCTGAATATTTGATTAAGTAGTGTAAATGAAAGAAATAACATAATTCAATTATCATATTTTAATAGATAATAAAGACAACAAGATGTATATATGTGATCCAAAATATAATATTTGAAAAGTAGCATTGATACCTTGACTATTCTATCACTTACAAGATTCAATATATTGCAAATGACATCGTGTGTCAGTCTTTCACCTTTGAAAGGTTTATATGTCAAAAGTGTCAAATGCATCTACATTCAAATCACATTATAAGAAAGCATGCTTAATTCAAGTGAATGGTACAAATTTTAAGTTATAATCATCCATATGAAGTATATTTTCAAATGAAAATATTCAGTAGTATGTATTCCATCACAAGCTTTTTATATATATATATAAAAGATTCAGAAATAATAAAGAGTGATTATTATCTACTATAGATGTGAAATCATGCAGGCCTTCTTTCATGGTAAGATAGTATTTGCATCCAAAGATAATGGAGCTCAATAACACTAATTTGACTAGTCATATGATCATGACTATAATTATAACCTTGACAATCTTATTAGTTTTTAAAAAAATTTATGATTTATGTTATTATAATTTTGAACGTATAAAATAACAAACGATTGATATGAAGGAGCAATCATAAACCTTAGGCGATGTCTGCGTGCGGTTTGACACTGATTTTTCAAATATTGTATGTTATATCGGACAGAAGACTCATATAATAATTATAGTCACTAGCTCATAAACCCATGAGCTATTTCTTTTAGGGCTTGATGTGTTCTTTCCAATAATATTGGGTGGTCTACTTGACGACCTATATAATCAAACTGAAACATCTTAGACAGGACAAAAGAAGTGTTGGAACTAGCGGGAAAAGGAGACATGTTCCCTGAGCATCTATATTCCAAGTGTAGCAGGTAAAATATATGCACAAGATAACTCAGTGTCATTTTTGCTATCGGTATTGGAAAGGACAAAGCAGACATTTCTTCGCACTGTAGAGGGTTGAATAAATATACATCGTAGGTGAAAGTTTATGATTTTTAATCTTTACTTTGGGCTAGGAGAAAAGTACATGTATTCAACCAGTGGTTTAAATTTTTTCGTTCCTCTTGTTTCTTCATTAATCTTGAAAGGAATGAAGATACACAGATGGCATTTTTTTCCTGAAGGGTTAACGGAAAAGGTATTGAATTATTGAGTCATTGTAGGAAGAATTGGATATGGTTGTGACAATAAAATAGTGTCATCCACTTTAGGAATGCGTGTAAGATCTTTTCGAATTTCATGCACCTCCCAGCTTTGATAGCTACAAACTTTCCTTTGCCATCTCACTCGCTCCTTTTCTCGACAGGGTGCTTTTGTCAGTCTGATGGTGTGTTTAGAAAGAGAAGTGCCGATGCAAGCCACCACCATGGTTCCGTTCCAACAAGCAAAGCGGACACGAGGTCATCGTAAAGAAGCGAATGTCTACGTACTCCCGTTCATACTGTACTCGCATTCAGTATCCTACATCGCAAAGACGTAGCGGAGCCTCGTACTCGTTCGTTCCAACATGTGCAAACTGTGGTAGTCACGTGATACTTGTGGAAGGCCGAGAAATGATATTCTAAGCTACAAAATCCGAAACATTTGTTCCAGCGCGCGTCGGAAGAGCATATGGAGTAGGCATGGATGGGCCTTGGAAGCCTCGGAAGCCTTCCGTCGGCAGTCTGCAGATAGGGCAAATCGATTCTCTCACTCGAACGGATTTTGCGAGCCTGCGAACAATGGAACTCGCGTTGACAGAAGTATATGTGGAAGGTAATGATTAACATCTTTTTGTTTGATCCGTTCAAAAAGAGCGACCTGTTGTAATCTGCAACAGGAGTCGTCCAAATGATACGGTCACGTCCAGGACTGGGGCATCGGGGAGGAGATCCATGAGTAGTGCTCGGAAGATGCCACCCCCCCAGGGAACCTGCTCTCGCCATTTGAACACGGCGTGGTTGACCACGACCGAGTCACCCACTCCCTCCCCGCCTTCTTGTCCTGCACAGAAGGTCCTGTGAAAGGTGTAAAGTACGTGCATACGAAAAGGGTCATTATTCATTCTTTTACGTAGTAGTCTCGCGGAACAAAAGGCTACTCTACTTACCGCGGCCTACTTGTATGGGAAAAGCTAGAACGTTACGCAAAGAATTGAATGGAAAGAGGAGCTCATGAATGTAGCCCATGGGTTCTAGATATCATTGACTTGAGCTGGTAGTGAGCAGCAGTAATATCCCGTCTCCGGCAGTAAGTCTCTCTCTGTGTTTGTGTGCTGCTGCTGCTGGCCTTCGGGCTTCGCGTTTGCCCTACACGCTCCCTCCTCTCGAGGGACCTCACTTGTTCGTAGGTCATCGATCTGGGAGATTCTCCACACCGTTTGCGCGTGGCGTGAGGGTCTTCCGATTTCACTCTCAGAGAAAATCTTGTGCTCTGAAAGCTCGAGGTTTTTTCACTCTGCCAGGGGGAGGAAGGACTCGTCGGATGTAAAAGGCTCCTGGCTCAAGGTGGATTCCCGACCCCGATCTCCTTCATTGCAGATTGCACAACAGCAGACATCAGACATCAGTCATCAGTCAGGCTCTTTCCGTATCCACAAATTTACTCGCAGTCCTACACAGCAGCAAAGAGTTAACGTAGAACACACAGTTGCAGCCCTCCCGGGAGATTGCTTCGAATCGAAAGCGGTGGAAGGGACTGGAATCTCCGGAGATCACCTTCCATCCACAGTATATAATTCACTGGGCGACGGAACGCATGCGCCTGCACAAGCTGACGGTTATCTGCACGATCTGATTTGACTTCCGCTCGAGTGATTCTCTGCTCTGGGACTTTGGACGAGCCCAAAAGTCCTACTCTTTACAAGGACGGACGAAAGGGGTCGAGTTCTCACCTTCCCCCTTCTCGCAAACGGCAAGCAACACCTGAAGTGACCGGCGTAGGAGGTCAAGAGAGGGAGGGAGAGAAGTACAGCACATACTATACAAAGACTCCCTATCTCCAGAATATCTTACAGGTCCACTTGGCTCTAACAGCCTAGGAGATTTTTAGCCGTTTGCTGCACATGACAATAGGGCATATCAATGGCTCATCATCATAACGCTGATAATATTCGAGCGGCATTCGAATCCGTTGTATTCTCGTGGCGCCGCACTTATCCATGAGCAGCCTATTCCTAAGCTCCAAATAAGTATTATTCTATAATACTCGGGCCCCCGAGTACTATTAAAAAATTTACTTGTCTTATCCCACCTCCCAACTCTCTTCCAGCGATAAGTATATCTTAGGCCCGATAATAGCACATGTTTTGCTTCTGAGGTTCGGGTTTTGAATATATATATATATATATATATCTAATTTTTTATTTTTATTTTTATCTGGATGAGCTATTGGTATGACTTCTCCGGGAAAGAAGGACGTGCTGGCCATAGCTCGGCTGTGATCAGCTTGAAAGTTTATTGAATTATAGTTAAGAACGTGTACGATTCAGAGGGGAAATCTGAAAATAATGCTTACCAGAAAACAAACTGTCGTGCACAAATATTCAGTGCATCTGTCTGCGTTAGACAGCAGCAGCAGCACGGCGTACCGAGATTGGGGTCTTCCCTGGACTGCACCCATAGAGTCTCGTGTGGGCAGCGGCAGCGTACAGTATTCGAATACACGAGGCATGTGAAGTCTAGGTTCCATTATGCTGCTGCTGCACGCATGTACCTAATATTTGATGGACCGTCGACGATGTGGCTCATCAACGACGGACGGAGGGACATCGGCATGACTCGACCCGGTGTAAACAATTGGATTCAGATGTGGATAGGCGTGGTGCATGGAAGCCAGGACTGGATACTTGAATCTAGAACACTTTCTTCCGACCCTCGGGACTGAGACCGGTATCGAAGAGAGGGAGCGAGCGAGCGAGCGAGAGGATATATGGTGATGGGTGAGGGTGGGCTCACGAGCTAGCGAGTATCGATCTTCGGGCTTGTCCTTGGAATCCCCATGTACCTATTCACATGTGTGTCCTTCGCTCGGAGGGTTCGAGCGCAAGGCTTTCCATGTGTGCTTTGTCCTCACCTCAACTGTTTTATGTTGTCCCAGTTACCGACTGATCTCTGAGACGAAGCTCACAGTATTCCTCGATACCGTAATCGCTGGCTTCGTCGTCCTTGGTATGTGTACTGTACATGCTCCGCCATGAGTATCGAGAAGGATTCTCCGCTGGACGGAGATTGCGGAAGTATTTATGTGCTTCGGGTGACGTTATTCTTGCATCGTCGAGTTTTCTAAAGCTTTTGAGATTTCTCGGCGATTGATTGCCTGATGTCTCGGAACTCGACAGAAGGACATCTTTCAAAGTGTTGAATGATCTTGATCGAGTTTGACCTGTCACCGTCATTGGGCATGACAATTGTTTTTGGAGGGTTTTACTTTCAGGGTTTCTTATGAACTAAATGAGCAAATCTTTTGCCAACTTCGAGTTCGAATTATGCTAAGCACCAAATCCGCCTTCAATTGGTCCGCAGGACAAGGTTAATAGTGAGGCCGTTGTACACACATATATACAAGTGACAAGTTTTGGGACCCAGTCGGTGATTTGTTACCCATCCTACTATAATAAGTGTGGCAAGTGGACTTTAACTTGTCAAAATGTCTATAGGCATGTTTAAAATTCAATAATTTGTTTCTCTAGACTTGAAATAATGTACACCAATTTGAAGAAATATTATACAGAGACCAATTGAGTTTCGAGATCCATGCATTTTCTATTTCTTTTGAGAGTTTAAGTGTTAACATGTGAATTCATGTAATGACATTGTGGTGTGAATTTTCAGATATGCTCGCAGTTTATTTTCTGTAATAAGGGGTTTCACAACAAGCACATCCTACATTTATTATATCCAAGAAAACGAAATTATGGGGATTCCCATAGGTCCTTGCGGGAAATTAGATAGACCCCGCATAATTCAATTCAATTTAATGGGGGATTGGCTCAGTGCATGTAACATGTTAAGAGATGAAAATTATGTGCCGAATTACACTGAACACTGTGAATATAGTTGTGAATCTCCCTTGCGTGCAAATTTGGGAGAATAAACATAATGAGACTAAATGTCACCACATGAACTGAGGTTTTGAAAACAGCATAAGGACCATTCATACGAATCAGATGCAATTATAACACGAACGAGTTATGGTATAGACATCAATTCGTAACAAAGAATGTATTGCTGTTAACTCCGAGGCTCGGGCTTGAAGAAAGAGAAGGACAATTTGCTTTTAAATTCCTTCAAGGCATGTAGAACGCAGCTTGTAAAGGTACATTTTGTTTTGAAGCATGACCTCAGAGATATAAATAAAGACATTAAATAATGTAACATGTGATAGAAAATTACAGCACTGCAGAACAAATTGGCAGTTCTCACTGATAGCAAAGTACAAGAGGGAAGGATCTTTCTCTGTATTGATGTGCTTCACAGATGATGATCGGCGGGATAGGAGCCTACACTTGCTGTAAGAAGTCAAGACGATTATGTCGGTTCGTCTTATGTTACTATTATTTGATGCCAAGTTGGTCAAACATAGCTTGTATAAGGACCCTCTTTTTGAACAATTTGTACTCCACTTGTAGATCTGATTAAGAGTGCAAAGTGGAAGACTGAATTTCATGCACCATGGACTCATGAGATCATGGGCAGTGGTCGCCTTGGACTTTCACAACCTCTAGTGTACCCCCAAGATTCAATGCGACCTCACCAGATCCAGATCTTGGAGGCGAGTGAGAAAGACACATATATCACTCGCCTTGTCTTTCATCATCACAGAGGGTTGTGCTTGCGTCATAATCACCGGGCAGGAGAATCGCGTAACGTGATATACAAGGCGGAAGGAAGGCTCTCCCAAGGAACCACCCCCCTCCTCCTTAAAATGAGAACTTTGTACGTCGTCCGAAGTGGACAGATGGGAACCAAGAAAGGTCATAAATTCACCCGAAGGTGATATCAGAGCACAGTAAAGAGTTAGTTCACAAGTCTGCTTGATAAGTTGTGCATTGTGCATACACAGTGATACGAAGCGTGACGGTGATGGTTGCCGCTGCTGCTGTTGGCTGGGCACACAGACCAGACAGACAGGTTCGAAGACAGCGGAGATTAGATTTCATGGACTATCATGCACATGAAATTTAAAGCTCGCTGGAGGAGGAGCACGCTGATGTGCCGAAGAAAGAATGTGTAGGTGGATTTGGAAGACTGGACCGGTCACCGCTGCATGAACCATATCTCGCCGGTGACGGGAAGCGATGATTGGCATCTGGAGTGGACGAGCGATGGTCGCCAGTGTACATCTTCCATCGAATCCCTACCCATTCGTGAAACGTGGAGGGGCCCTAAATGGACCGACTGAAGCAATTCAACCGAAACGCAAATGTTAGCCTTAAAAACAAAAGCCTGCCCCCGCAGGAGGAGGTGATGCTGCTGCTGTCTGTGTCGGCTCTAGGGCTAAATGAGGCTGCACTACGGAGGGCTCCGATCTTCTCGCCCCGCCATAGTCTGGCAGCTGCCCGTTCGCTTGAAGGACGGGTGCTCCACTGTAGAAGAACAGAGTGGTGGCATCCGAGCTGCGGCCCCAGCGGCAGATCTCCACCCTCGAACCTGAGCGGACACGTGCCTCGAGGCAGCGGATATCCATAATGGTACTGGCAGACAAACGACGTGTCACAGCTGCTTTATGGCGGGCTGGAGCGAGGGATTCCGGCAGGACTTTTATCCTCTACAGGCTTGCCGGGACTCCGTCACTGTCTGCGTGAGTATTTGAGATATCCGTGCCTCGGGACCTCGCGTTCGTGATCGAGCGAGAGGACGAAATTCAAACCAATAAAGAATCTAACCACCGTGAATATCTCGATGAGGGTTCGTTGACCTCATGCGCATAATGGTCGCAGTTTCCCCATCCTCGGCCCGCATGTCATCTCGCTTGAATCTCCCCGGCGCTCGTTCGCCCTGTCGGTAGCGCATTTCCCGTCGGATGGTGTCCAGCGACTCCAGTCTCGCGAAAGTCGGGCATGGCGCGATCGTTCGTTCGTTCCATGCTCGATCTGCGATCCGTCAAGTTCGCATTATTTATCTCGAGATAATTGCATTATAACGGATGATGGTCACCAGATATGCCAAACATCAATGTCGCATTTTGTTCACATCCCAATCGCTCCTCCAAGAGGACCAATCGTACGACCGTAATTTGTACTCTATCATACGTTTAACCGGTTGCCTTTCTATTTGATTTGGTAGCGGGCTCATCATCCCCCATTATGATTTATTGATTTCCCGAAAAAACAAAATGTTGACAAAGTGGTGGGTTGCCCGTGCAGAGACAAGTGCATGTTCGAAGACAATCACGTTTCGCTAAGTTGGTCAGGTTCGAGGTTTGTATTCAGTCTTTGAGGTTTTTAATGGAATTGGCTCTAAAAATAATGCACGCAACTTTGAACATTCTCGACGAAGACGAAGCACCTAACTAAAAGAAAACCCGAGGCAAACTCCTAATTGTGAAAACGACTCTTTATTGAACTTCCTCTTGAAGTACTGGTGTTATGAGATTTTTCAAGGTTTCTCAAAAGATCCCGTAAAAGAATTTCGTCAAGTTATGTGGACTCACCTGAATGAGGAAATAAAAACGAGCCCTATCAGCGGGCTATCTCCAACCTCCTTTTCTCTCTTTCGATCCACCTCTTACCTTGAGGTGAGCCCCCAGCTTTTTAAGCACGAAGATAAGGATGGGGCGTTGAGCCATAAGATTATTGTGATTTTGCAGAAATGAGATAACCATAGGGAAAACATTATTCTGGATGCGATCGGCCTTATAGTTGGGCGAACGGTCATGCAGCGAAATGATTAGTTGAGCAGCTATAAGGCGCGTCATAGGAAAAATTAAACAAATTGCAGAGATGAGGACCGGGGAAAGGGGAAACATAGTGAACTTTGTAGCTTCCTACTGCCCGTAGGGGATATATCAGAGCATGTTAGGTGTAATTTTGAGAAGCTTTACACGTAATGGAGGAGCCTACAAGTCGGGAGCGGAGAGACTGGGAGAGAGGATGAAGTCGAAGCGGACGACAGTATCTTTCCGGAGCGAGCGAGGCCCGGGCAGGCGAATAAATCGAACGACCTAGGACGAAAATGATGGCCCTATATTCCAGCGGACACTGAAATCTTGTTGACGGAACGGCGTTCGGGGAGCGCCCCGGAGTTCGTTCAGTCAGCCACCCAGTGGCAACCTCGGCCCAGAACACGATCTGCGCTCGGCCGAGATTCGAGAGCGACGGACATTCAGTAGACGACGACGGAGGATCACGGAATCCGGCGGGCGTCGATGCCGACAAGCGCACAGATGCGGAACGATCGAAACAGACTCACACGCGTAACCAATAATGGACGACGAATGGAAAACAAACGGCGAGAGACGTTTGAAAAGAGAAAATGACATCGTGGCCGTAGAATGAATAGATCTATCCACATCCGAGGGCTCAGGAATAATCTGCTCGATTTAACGGAATTGTCCGACAACAGTCCCGGATTGGGGGCAGCGAGGGTGGGGCCTAGGACGGGCGGACTACCGGGATCCCGTCGACGTCAGCTGCGTTTACCGGTGGAGGTGGTAGGTAGTTGACAAGCAACGGGAGGTACGTTTGAGACGCCCTGACGAGGGAGGCGGTGAGCTCGGCCTCGCTTGCCGCGACCCGACGAATGTGAGGTGGGTAGGGTAACGTCACGATTTCTGGATCCTCACACAAGGCCGAAAGCTGAAGCCATGGGTACGTAAGAGCAAATCTTATAGTGTACTATGCTCGTATCGTCTCGGACTTACTTCTATGCAGCCAATCGGAGCGAGATCCGGTGAGGTCCATGTCAATGAATGTTCCCATTATTTTAACGCCCCAGAATCCCGCCACGTTTACTATGCACTTATCCACACCATTTCACCAAATGGGGCCCTGAACAGAACATGGGATCGAGAGAGATGACGGTTCTGAAGTGACCAGCTCTGACCACAGCTGGTCACTTAATCTGTCTGGACTTCCTAATGTGTCTAGGGTTTGTAGCCGAATAATTCCGATGACCTTCGTTTTTCCCAGTTTGGATCCTAGTCCACCTTTCGGCCTCTGCTGCTGCTGGTACTAACGAGTGGCGAGAGACGAGAGCCCAAATATATATAAAAGTGACGGCAAATTACACGGAGCGTCAAGAATGCACCACATGAAAATAGGCCAAGGGCCCTTTCAACACATGGTTTACGTGCCAATTCTCATCTTCATGGTTGGGTACTTAGAGGCTAACTCACAACTTAATTGAATGGTAGTTGTGCCCAAGTTTCATGTCCTGCTCTTTCAGCTCTCTTTTTTCTAAGTCTTTTTTAAGAACTCTTGTAGGCATAATGTGGTTGTGGCTTAAATCTTTGTTCTTTCTCTTTTATTTCTCTGATCGATTTATAGTGTTTTCCTCCAGTAAGCTGCTGAAAAGCTTACAAATTTAGAATTTTTCTTCCTTTTCTGAAATTTCTTAGAATCAGGATTTCTTTCGGGTTTTATTACAAGCCAATGATACCCTAACTTTTTCCCCTGTCACAACATATTGCAGATATTATAACCCTAGCTGTTGGCCAGACATGACTAGTGCAGTCGTCGGGTGGATTCACGCAGTAAATTGAAGGTTGGCTCCTAATTTGAGCTACTTG